GAGTGGAAGATAGGAAAGAAAATGGTAACCTAATATAGTCGTATAACTTATTTTTATATATAAATAGAGGTATTCCTTTGTAATGTTGCTGTGTAAGTAGGACACAATACACACACACACAAAGCCCCTGCAAGCAAGTGAAGATTTATGGTGTGTGGTTACCATCATTGCAGTGATGTTGAGCTCTTTTAGCCTGGATCTGCCTCTCAGTCAGTCCTGGAGCAAAGACACTTTGACACGTTATTACACTAAGAGTGGCAGAAATGATCAGACTGGCTCTGAATAACACAGAGCTATATCCTACTGTGTGTCATTCTTTCTTTCCACTGACAATATCTCCATATCTGTCTGTCTGGATTGTGATGAGCGACATGTTCACGGGGGGAAAGTGATAATGAGATATGGGAAACAAGCAATTTAACACAAAAAATCATTCAACTACTTTTAAGTCAAATAAATCGCTTCCCTTATCGCAAGTGCTTCATTCATTTATTGGAGAAGAACTAGCCAAAGGCACACAATCATCCTATCTCCATCCACACATTAAACTCTCCTTCTAGGGGTGGCTGGTATTGTCAGTTTAACTAGCTTTTTGTCCTAGATTTTAACAACATGTTATATGCCACGGGAAAACAGTCAAAGCCTCAAGAAGGTTTCATGTATTTATCTTGATCTAATTATTACATATATACAAAACCTTGACGACATATAAAACCTGCTCTAATTATAATACTGTACTGTCAATCGATTTATATTGTTATGAGTAATACGACAAAGTCACAGATAACGATCTACGCAGCCTTTTAGTTTCTTTGAGTTCAATGTTTTGGTTCACTCTAATTAGTGCTGTTTTCAGCAAGAAGAGGCACCAGTTATAAGGGCGAAAACAGTTCTGATAAACGTACTATACACGCCTAACTAAAGTTAGCAACTACTGTAGCGGGTTAACAAAATTGAACAAATAGCAGCTGAAGACCCAGTTGTTTCCCTCAGGAGTTGGTGGAGACCAAACAAAGCAAAAAGACAGAATTATTGACTCACATTTGTCGGATGAACAGAAACACAAATGAGTGCTAATGTTGTCTCTAACAGGATGCCAGTTCAACTAAAGGATTTCTTGCATGTTACTTATATCACCTATAAGATGATAATATTGAATCTACAGCGAGTATCAGTATTTTTTCTATCTATCAATGAAAAAACGTGTTTTTCTTAAACTATAGTTCGAAAGAGAAGGGTACTCCGAGACAAAAATCTTTATATGTTATGTAAATGTGTCTTGAATCCTCTGTTCATGCTTTTCATCATACTACCCTATGTGTCGCATGTAACCTTGTTTGGATTCATCCATATTTGATTACTGGGCCCATTACTGTCCTTGTGGGGGGTTGTGCCGACTCTGTACATCCACTGACTGCAAGGACGCAACAGAAAGAGTTCGGTACATGCAGAAATGTAAATGCTATAGGTTAGATTATATGTGTAGCCTCTTTTTTGTTCTATAGCATTACTTGTACTGCTGCTGTTTTCTAGAATCAGCCCATACAGTATGTTCAGTAAACACTGTTATTTTTGTCAAGGATCGTAAGCCACCACTGGCTCGGTTTATTAGAAATAGAAATAAAAACTAAACATTTACAGGCTATTGTGTTGATCCTTTAGATGTTAGAAAAGCATCCTCTTGGTTTTGTGCTATGAAGATTTTGCATTTCTGCCAACAAATCTTACAAAGTGTGCATCATAAGATTCAGCATTAAATGCAGTGTACAGGCCAATAAAGGCTGCCAATCTGACTGAATGATTGGTTTACAATGCTTTTACTTAGATTAACATGACAATGATTTATTTGCTTAATCTTTTTACGTATCAATCAGAAGGAGTTGGTATGTAACCGTACACATAATAAGCATAGGACTTACAATTGACAGTTGGGTTGCATTTATTAACACACGCGCACAATTACAAATGACTTACACTGGATGGTTAGCTTGAAGATAACCCATCAATCTCCAAATCGATCTCTAATAGATCAAATCTTCCTGAGTATTTGATGCTGGTGACTACACATTGGCGATCAAAATATGTCACAGTATCACCACTTGAGAAGGATTTGCCTTGGCTATGCATACAGTACAGTGCAGGTTTCATTCTTCAAAATACTTAAAGGTGGGGTAGGTAATTTGAAAATACGCAACCGGAAAAAATCTGCCACTCCTTACAGAGCCCCTCCTCCAACACACACGAACGCGCACATGACCAATGAGGGTACGAGATAAGTTTGTGCACAGATGGAAGGCTGACAGGCAGGTAGGCCATCCAGTTATTTTAGCCGGGCCGACTAAAATGATTGGTCGTGCTTTTTACAGTACTACGGCTTCCACAGATGAACATTTTTGAATGGATTTTTTTCAAAGCACTTAAGATATTCATTGCTATCGGGATGTTAAGAGCATTCCATGGAATATAACAAAAAGTGTATCTCGAGCCGGTTTCTCAAACTTACCTACCCCACCTTTAAGGCTCATTACAGTTATTCAATATTTATTTTGATATATTATGATAACTATTCTGTATTTATTAAGAATATGAAAAAGCAGGTAAAATTGGGACTGGCTGATCTGCAGTAGAATCAGCAGCTTTTTTGCTTTTCCCCCTAATACTCCACTTTACCTGACTGGTCTATGTCATGAAAGCACCCCGTTTACAGTAAACAAGAATGAACAGGTTCCCCTTTCGGAAAAAGACAAGGACAGCTTTTTGGTGCGTAGGCGTGGGAACATAATAATCTGCGGGAAAAAACTGTTTAAACTTTTTAAGAGTAAGTCTAACAAAAAAAATATTTCATGTTTGTCCTATTACAATTAGTAACTGATATGGATCACATTAAGTCTGTTTATTCTAACTATGATGAAATGTGTGTATATACGTACTGTATGCATGTACAAATGTAGATACGCACATACTGTATCTAGATCTTTTGTACAAATAACTTGACACTTGATCTGATCAAATTCACACTTGGCGGGTTATTTGCTGTGGACTCAAGGAAGTTGTTGAGTGCAAGCCCCTGAGATCTGTGTGACATTTATTTTTTGTGCGTTCTGTACACACTGCGTTATGTATTGAGATGATTAACTGTTACAACCCCAAACAGCATCTTGTGTATGTCTTGCTCTCCGTCTATGCTAATGTATTAGCATAGCCTTGCTTTGGTATACAACTATGTCAGGGCAGCTGTCATGGCAGGCAGAAAGGAAGTGCGGTGTTGAGTTTGAAGGTGTTTGAATCAGCGGTTCTTGAGAAAAGAATAGCGTAAGCCTTTGTTAACATAAACCACAACCAACAACAACCAAGTCAGAGAAAGCTTACCTAGACTTTCCTACGGGAACATTTTTGGTCAAGGATACTTCAACATGTTGACTGCGGGGGATGGGAATCTAACCCCCACCCTCTGACCGGTAGGCGCCCAATACCCCTCTAGTCATCAATGAACATCATGAAGGAGATATACATTTTCAGCAATATTACAAAACAACCAAGAGAAACAATCTGTTCTATCCCTTCTTCCAACTCAGCCATTTAGCCAATGACTTATTTCCAACATGGTGCCATAATCTCTCCTCAATCAGGTTAAGAATAGGCCTCCTCATTGACAAATCCAAGAACGACTGAGATACGGCAAGAGTCTAGCGTCAGACATTGAAAAAGGTCAGCTTTTATTGCAAAATACATCACTTGCGTTAACCTGAACCCGTTTTATTGTGATGAAGCCTCACCACTGCATCGCCACAAGATCTTATATCCCATAAATAACCAACTGCACCACTGCTGGGAGGTAAATAAGGCAGTAAAAAGCTCAGGCTGCGTTTCAGTTTTTCATTGTCATAAATTAATATTTCATACCATCCACAATGGATGAGATTCAGTTCCTCTGTGTCATGCTCATAAACCCCTCAACTGGATCAGCTGGAAAAAAAATTGCCTGGAAAGCCTTGATTGTACCTGCCTGATGTGCCAAGCGCTCCTCACAAGACGAAGCGTCTGTAGTGTCACATCAGGAGAATGAAAAGCCGCTGTCTGCTGTCTGCTCTAATATATACAGTATAAATGTCAGGCTTAAAGCTAACTGAATCTCTCCATGTTGATTTATCTTTTATAACACAGCAGACAAAGGCTAACATAAGTATTTGTTCTAGAATTTCACATTTAAAAACCCAACTGATCCATTTTAAATTCAGAAACATGAATGAAAAAGTGGCAGGGCTCGGGCTCGGAATTCTCCCGCCCCCCTCCCTCCCCCCCAACCTGCTCTGCCCTGATGTGCAAAGGCAGTCCATCAGTGCCAATATGGTTTGTCGCAAAGGATGGGGACGTGCAGAATTGCGCAAATGTGGCTTTCTGTGCACTTTTGCAAATGGGTCATTCGTGCTTTAAAAGGATACTAGACTGCGCATGTTTGTCAGCCAACTTCCACATTGAAAGCCTATAAAAAGGGTGCGAACCTGGTTAGCTGAACGTGCTCTGCATCCGTAATTATTATTCCACTAAAAATAAGCGAGGAGGGCAGGGAAAGAGGGTGGGGGTAAAGGGCAAAATAAGAATATAAAAGCCCCTTAAACCAAAAGAAACAGCCTCTAGTTGCACATTTTAAAGAAAAAAAAAGAACTGCAACCAGTGATTTTAAAACCAGTGCTCCTCTGTCTATACATCTCTGAATCAAAGAGGTGGAGAGGCGCAGTGTGGACAGCGTGTTGCAGGAGGATGCGGTGAGGAAACATCGTTTCCACATCGCATCCAAACCCTTCCGACGCATGGTGCTTTCAAGTCTTCCATCTGTGCTCCATGAGGCAACACCGTCCACTCCACATCCCTCCCTCCATAAATTAACTTGCTTCCACCAGACAATGCGGCGTGAGCCAAAGCCCACCGGCGTTCAGTATCACTACCATGATTGTCCCTTGTTCTGAAACCGTACCCAAAAAAACTGCAGAATATCCTACCTGTTTATCCAGAGTGTCCACAATCTGGAGAAGGCAGTCAGTAGTAAAAGCAGGACTAAAGCTCTACTAGTAGCAGAACCAGGAGGAGGAGGAGAAGTAGAGGTAAGCCAGTAGTGGAGAATGGTAATGGAGACGCAGGGAGCTCTTATACGCCAGCCAAGGCAGCGTATCCACACAGCGAGACGCACAAAAGAGAGGGAGAGGTGTCCGGATTCCCATGCACTGACAGCTTATTATTTGTTGCTGTTGTTTTCGGTTGTTGCCTACTCTTCGTTTCCATGCAGCGGGACGTGTAAGACCTGTATGATCGGATAACCGGAGCGGAGCTTCATCAGCAAACCCGCATTTGTTGGGACGAGGCGCGCAGCACAGCCGACTTCTTCCTCATTCTTCCCTTCCCGATGCCCCTCTCACTCCGTGCAAGCGCAAGAGAAAAGGAGAGAGAGAGAGAAAGAGAGAGAGGAGGAGGAGAGCGAGAGTATACCAGAGTGAAAGAGCGAGAAAGTGTGTGTGTGTGTGTGTACTGTTCCCTCACACACCGACGGATCAGCGCGACTCCTTCTCTCAGTGCTGTGTGTGTCTATGCACATACATCTTTCTAGTCACACACACACTAACAGTACACACACACACACACACACACACACACACACACACACACACACGCACACACGCACACACACACACACACACACACACACACACACACACCCACTCTGCATGTCTATGTCTCTCAAGTTGAATGATTTTATAGAGAAAAGTTGGTATTTAAAGTTGGTATTTAGTGCAATATTTTATCTTGCATTATCAATGGCTGCCTTGTGTACATTAATATCTGAAATATAGATTCTTAAAGACAAAAAAAGGTCTGATTTACAGTGTTAGAACTTATGGCGCAGTTCCACTGCAGCGCGGAGCTCGCTTTAAGCGTGCCGTGTCGTGCCGTCCCCTTTTTTGGTTGTGCTTCCACTAGGCCTAGTTCCGGCGCGGCACGGCGCGGGGCCACTTTTTCACCTCTTTTCTGGCCCTAGAAAATTGTGGTTCTATCGGGGCCAACAAACAGGGCTGAGTCGGGCTGAGTATGCTAAACTAGAGAGAGGAGCGCTGGCAAGAGGGCTAGAACTACAACAAGATGGACATATTTGACCGTGATTTAATTGTAATACACGTTTCAAAATGATGCCGAAGTAACAACATACTGATACCGGTTAGTAAAAACCATGAATTAATGCTTTGTCAAGTCTGCAGACAGACGGCAGGCGAAAAACCTTTTAAAATGCGTGTTTTTCTAGATGGAGATTGGCTAAGCTAACGCAGTATATGCTCTGACCGTCCACACTCACAACAACGGCCTATACAGACATAAATAAAGCAGCGACTGTATTCACCATGACACAGGCAGTCTGTGGTGTGTACTTGTTTAACTTTTGTCGAGTTTCTGAACATATACAAGGAGCTGTGAGCTCTGAGTGCTAACAGCTAACGGCTGTGTTGTTTTTCTGGGGTTCTCATTGAAGATGACTTCACGGCTCCGCCTACACTGCGTTACTATAGTAACTACCCCAGTTCCTAAACTGTAATGGAAGCGCAGCATGAAGTGAGTCGGCCCTGTTAAGGCCCAACGCGGCCAAGCCGCACCGAGCCGTACCGAGTGTGGCCGAGGCCGACCGTGTAGTGGAAATGCGCCATTAGAGGTACATCTTGTGGTTTGATGACCCGAACCTGACAATCAACTTCCTTTTTTGTTGATACTACAAACATATTTTTAAAAACCTTTTATACGAGGAGAGAGCAGCATGTATACAATAAACTAATAACTGAAGAGCCATTGACTTATTGACCTTTTGGAAAAACTGGAATTCCTAAAATAAACCTCAACAAGAGGAACCAGTTTTTCAACACTGTAAAATGTGGAACAATCAGTTTGACGATCTGAATGAAACTTAAACCGAAGTCACTACAACAAAATACTTGTACTACTACACAGCATTTCCTTTTCCTTTTGGTAAGCAGCCATGGTATAAGTGCTATAAAACACACAAGGCTGAACCAATATAAACACATAATTGACTTGATAGCGCAAACAGTTTTTGCCTTCACCTCATCCATTACTTTATATAGCAGCATCTATCAGCATTACCTCTCATTTCAAATGATTGTATAAAGACTTTCTGAAGTGATGCATGGGGAGAGACCTACACATTAAGGGGAAGAGAGATCGAGAGAAAGAGACAAGAAAACAGATTAAAGGAGACACATTAAGAGTCCTTATAAAACTCAGCATAGATTGATAGTTTTGCATGTGCGAAAGCCACAGAAAAAATCCTCATCTGATAACTCACTCATTACAAATATTAGGCTGTGGATCCAATAACAAATGCAGACACTAAAAAATACCGAGTAAAGAATATGTTGCTTAGTACTGATGGTCGAATAGTTAGAAACAGGAAGGCTTGAGACAGAAAAAGTAGTTAGGTAGGCAAAAAAGGGAAATACAACAGGAGATCTAGATGGTTGACATTATACGCCACAAACAGGCTGGCAGGAAGGCCTCAACTACAAAAAATAAATAAACAATAGGCAAAACATGACCTCTGTGTATTCACTGGGGTTCATTGTGCATGAGGCGCAGCTGGGTAGGCAACCAACAAGGTCAGGTGACCCATAAAGGAGGGAAACTCAGTGAGGGCAACTGGAGGGCAGGCGAGGCAGAACAGGATCCTGGAAAATCCTACACACTGGGAATAACGCGAGAAATAGTCTGAGGCTATGAGTGAAATAATTCACTCATTCACTATCTAGGGAGCTCTATATAAAGGACTTTAAAGTGAGCTCATCGGAAAAATGAAAAAAACACTTCAAACTACTCGAGTCATTTTCTCTGCACCGTTGGTTACATCATTGCTGTTTTACAATTAAAAAGCCAGATTAACTTCGGCTTGTGGAACATCCATTATAAATACAGACATGCATTTGTGTGATAAATAATACAGCAGTTTGTTCAGTTGCTTCTTGAAGCACTCTGAGTTAATTTCATTGATCCTTGGTAAGCAGTGATGCAGTGAATAATGTGTAGGGTTTTTATTGTGAAAGAAAAGAACTAGCAAAGTTTGGCTGCATTGTCAATGTGTTGGCAAATTGAACACTTGCAATGTCCCCCACAAGTTGATCAAGATGCCAGACACAGCCAAGCCATCACTCAGCAGAAAAATAGAACATTTCAGGGAACAGATTGACCCGAGAGAGAGGATGTGCAAGGTTGACCACGCAACGATTTCCATAAACTTCATGCCAGCTTGTGTGAGTTAATTTGACGGGTCCTGGTGCAGGTGGATAACATATTTCATTGCCTCAGGTTGTAAAAAGCACAGGTGCAGTAACTTTGGTAGTGACAGCTTTGTTGTGTGGGTAGAAAAGGAGCTGCTCTTGAGTTGGTCCTGTGGTCTGGAGAAGCTGCTTTTTAATTCACAGACATGTTAAGGATTATTGGATGAGAAACTGGATCACAAGAGAACCTAACAGGCTGACCTGAGAACAAGGGGTTAGATACTGAGGGACAATGTTTGTAGGAGAGACCAAAGGGTGCAGGGTGATAATAGAAACAGACTGGGGCAGAGCTTTGAGGGAGATGGACATACTGACTGGGCTGCATATAAATGGAGACAAACCGGAGCTAAAGCCTAGAAAAAGGATGGATGGACAGATGGAGGGAATAGAATCAGAAAAACAGGCTTTGTCGGCTCTGTCATAATACTGGAACAAACTTTAAGCGACACATAAGAGCAAAGCTTGATGGGCAGATAAATACTGGGCCAGTGAAACAAAAAAGGACAAGCTAGTGAAAAGACACAGGCTAAGAGGCAGCTCTGAGCTCCCGCTGAGAAACAGATTCAGGCTCAGACCAAGAGACAAGTTTGGGCAGAAAAGCAGAGAAGGGGAACTGGAAGGGATTCATGTGGGGGCAGAGGGACAGGTCATCATCGTTGAAACATAAAATGCTGTAGAAAGAGGCAGCAGAGATTCCGATAGGTGGCCTACTGAATTAGTGACCAGCTGTTCAATGAAGTTAGAGACCATAATTCATCGAACCGGGAGACATTTGAAAACGACAGACTGAATGACTGATGTCATTGACCTGATGAAGGCCCTAGAATCTACAATAACCCACACTCCTGTAACTATAGGGGGTATTAGGTAGTATTACTGAAAGATAAGTTGAAATCCCACAAATGTGTCTGATAGTATAGAGATTTGCAAAAGGCGGCATGCTGGTGCAGTGGGAAAGGGAACACTTTGGAAATCTGGCACACAAGGGTTTTAGAGAACAGGATAGCAATGTCTGTGAATATGTAGGTTTATTAAAGCTAGCAGATGGAGATGCAACACATGCCTTGATTTCTTTAGGCTTTTGTGTACTATGCCAGGTGTTCACTGCAACTGCACAATTGTAAAATCTATTTGTCAAAGCCTCCCTTGATGTTAAAAATCAATAACAAATTACTGTAGATGAATAGATAAAAATGTGATACGTACAGTATGTAAAATTAGTTTATAAAATAAGTTTGCCTATATCATATGCCAAGGTTGCCAACTTCAAGTTTCTGGTATTTAGAAAAAGAAGAATCAGTCTCTGCTTTATGTTTATGAAAAAATATCAGCATTGCGCTCCTGATTGTGCCAACAGGAGACTAATATACAGTCTTATAACATTATGATATTATGGTGGATAATGGCTGATCACAGCAAACAAGAAATCGGTGAATCCTCAAATAAACCGTTTATTAATCCACTTAATTATTTTGTTAATAATATTCCAGCAGATCACCTATATAAATGCAAAACTATATACTATTTCTCATTTCATTTCATGACTTGTTATGCTTTCACTGAATGATAATATTGCACTTTACTTGAACTGGCTTTCATTCTGTCATGAGAATAAAGCATATTTAAATACAACTGAATTGCAATAGAAAGAGGAAAGGACAGAGCCCTCTGCAGATGTGAGGTTCATTCAGAGAGGTGAAAGCTTCATCCCGTTCATTCATAATTCAGAGGAGCTGCACCCCGGGGTGTCGTCTTAGAGCACAGCCATTCTCACACCTGTCAATCAAACAGTCCTGCTAACACTGTAGGAGTGCAGCAGGAGGGAGCTGTGCAGATGACATATAAGAAATACATATACAGTATATGTTGATTCAACATTTTATTTGAGTGTAGTGGTACAATTCAAGAAGTCAACCCATGTCAAAATTATTTAGAAATCCACTCTAACACCGAAATCCTTATTAATCCGATCTTTCTTGTTGTGCCATAATAATAAAAAAATGTTATACACTACTTAAAACAAAAATGTTTATTTCAAACATCTTGTTTTTCAGCTTTATTTGAAAGAAAACATCAGTAAGTCAATGTGTTATTTAAAAAAAAAAACACTTTTGTAATAATACATATTATTACATGAATGAAATATATA